AACTGATTACAGGACGGTTTCCTTCGTTTTCGAACTGAGCATACAGAGGCAAAGGGTGGCGTGGTCAACTAAAAAACATCACTCAGTCCAAGGGCAGATAGGCTGTGTTAACCCAGCATTGGACTCTCCGAGCAGTGCACTGGAGAAAGACCGTTGGCTTACCTGAACGGTCGTTCTCGGGGCACTGCGAGGAGAGTCCAATGCTGGGTTAACACAGCCTATCTGCCCTTGGACTGAGTGATGTTTTTCAGTTGACCACGCCTCCCTTTGCCTCTGCATGCTCAGTTCGAAAACGAAGGAAACCGTCCTGTAATCAGTTACAGTCAATACAGTCACATCGTATAAGAGAAGTAAACACCCCGGGCGGGTTTGGACTCTCCTCGCAGTGCCCGGAGAACGACCGTTCAGGTAAGCCAAAGGTCTTTCTCCAGTGCACTGCTCGGAGAGTCCAATTGTGGGACATGCCCAAGCTATTGAGTCCCAGGGTGGGGAAGTGCCAGAGCCTCTGGAACTTCAGCTACTCTTTGTAATACTCTTCTCCCAAATGAGGCTTCGACTGAGGCAAAGGTGTCAATTCTATAGTTTTTAATGAAGGCCGTGGGGGAGGCCCACGTGGCTGCCCTGCAAATGTCCAGAATAGATGCCTGGGTCGCCCAGGCTGCAGAAGCTGCTGCGCTCCTAGTAGAGTGTGCGGTGACCCGGCACGGAGCTGTCTTGCCCTGGTGCTCATATGCCAGCTTTATGCAAGCGCGCAACCAACGACCCACTGTGTGTGAAGAGACTTTGTGGCCCAGAGACGTAGGGAGGAATGAGACAAAGAATGCCTCTGAACGGCGGAAATCTTTTGTTCTCTTTACATACATGCGCACGGCTCATCTCACGTCCAACCTATGCCACTCACTCTCCTTAGGGTGAGAAGGCTGGGGGCAGAAGTTGGGCAAAATAATCTCTTGAGTCCTGTGAAACAGAGAGTTAATTTTGGGAGTAAAGGACGGATCAAGTCTCAGAATTACTCTGTCCGGGTGAATCACGCACAGATCCTCCCTGACAAAAAGAGCTGCCAGCTCGGATACCCTGCGAGCTGACGTAATAGCCACCAGGAAGGCAGTTTTGTTGGTTAGGTGGCGTAGACTGGTCGTGCGCAAAGGTTCAAGGCACAAGGAAAAGGATGGAGTAGAACCCCCTCCCCTCCTGACCCCTGGGGACTGGCTCTATTGCCTCTATCTCTGGGAGATGGTGGATTTCTGCTCTCATGCGCTCCCTCTTCTCTGGGTTCCTGGGTGTAGGGCAACGAAGAAACTTCCTCTGGGGGAAGGTTAGAAAGCCCAGGACAAGTCCGAAAGTCCGAATGGTGTTGAGGAGCCACTTGTCCGATGTTATCTCCTCCCACCTGTCGGCATACGGCCGTAGCCGACCTCCGATGGGGGGATCCTGCGACCGTCACTTTCCCTTACGAAAAGGTCAGGAGCTACCACTGTGGTTTCCGCCTCCTCGGAATGGTCTCCGAAAGGAAGACTGTGATTGGTTGGCACGAGAAGCGAAGGAGGATCTGTCCTGGTGCCTATCCCCCCCCTGCCTGAAAGGGCCTCTAGTAGGAGGAAGGGTGAGAAGATTGCCCTGCTTCCTGATTCCTGTAAGGTCTCTTACAAAAGGACCCCGCCCCCTTACGGTCACCCCTCTTAAGAGTTGCAGGAAGGATTTTACGTTTGTCTTTAGTCNT